GCCATTTCCAATTTATTTTAATCTAAAATGTATTTTTATAAGTAGCTATAACTATTTCCTAGAAATAGAATTCCATAAAAATATACTTCCAATCCATAAAACAGCAGCAAAGTTTTAATTCATCAATTTATCCAATGAAAATATACTTTCATGCCAGCCAAAAGAATTCAACACTCTAACAAAAGAATACAGACAAGTAAAAAGAAAGAACCCAGTCTTCTAACACTTAGTGCAGGTATGGGTTTGTTTCCAGAATTCACAGTGTCCCTGGGCTTTTAAAATCTTTGTGACTTTGGTAGTGAGAAAAGCTGGTTATTATAGTGTTATATTATTACTAAAGTATATTATTTTTATAAATGTTTAATAGGTATTTGTAGTTAATTACCACATTTTTCTTTTGATAGCTTATACCAACAGTGTCTGTGCAGGCTGGAATAAGGCAACAATTCTCATGGGAGAAAGGGAGAGTCATTTTTCAGTTATATGGATTGTCATAAGTATTAGATTGTGATAACTTGGGCCTTTTAAAAATAGAAACTGAGATAGAGCATTAGACTAGAGCTGAAGAGCTGAGGGACAGTGCCCAGGCCCAGAGTTCAAGCTCCATGACAAAAAAAAAAAAAATAGAAATTGTTCTTTGAACCAATCTCTCCATTTCTTTTTTTTTATATCAGAATTCAGTATATTTGAACAATCTGAAAGATACAAAACTGAATTTGAGTCATGTGAATGAGTAGAACCACACTTCAATTCATAATATTGTTTGTGTTCTAGGCACTTCTACTAGCTTGCATTTTCAAGTTATGTACTTTTTGTCAGGAATACCAATTCACCTCTTACAAAAACTGCTATACACAGAAATATCAGCTTCTTTAAAAAAAACACCATTGCATTTTCATTTTAGTTATACTTTATCTTTCCATCTTTCATAAATAGAAAGGCCCTGGAATAAAATGAACCCTTTTAAAAATGGTCTTCCCAAAGCTGTGTCTGGACAACTATCTAGAGCTATTAGAAAATGCTATCTAAATACTTCCAGTTTAGGAAAGCTTGTTCTGCCAATGATGGTGGGAATACTTCCTTCTGGTATCTGTGCAGCTTTCACTAGTTACTCATCCCCGGTGGAGATGACAGGGACCTGTTCTCAGAAGGTGTTCTGTCAGCGTTTGCTCAGGATAGCAATCTGACTTCTAATCCTCCATCCAGAACTCTGGTTTCTACAGCAACACTTCAAGTCCTGCTGAGCTCAATGGGAGCAGACTAAGTAGGGCAGAAGAGAGACTACTGTGACTCAAATATTTCCTACCTTCTGTAACATGTTTTCTGCAGGAGCTTATAAATGTAAAGCACCCTATGAGGTATGAAGCAGTCAAGGCTGAATGCCGTTCCTATATCTTAACACCAGCTCTCATTTGCCGTGTGTTGTGTGCCAGGATTCACTATTGCACGTCTCACTGAAGTTCTCTGTAGTGTTGCTGCTGTTGGCTCCATGTTACACATAAGGAAATATGCACAGCACTTATCTAAAATACCATCTAGTTAATAAACATCAGTGTAGAGGAACTCAGAAATGGACCTACCTTGCTTCTGACATACTTTGATGGGTTGATTCCTCAGAAATAGCCATGCAGAAAGTCTGGAAATCTAGACATGTTCTTGTTGCTTTTCCCTCAGTAATATGCTATTTTAATTAATTTATTTATTCATTTATTTATTTATTTCTGTCAGTCATGGGGCCTTGAACTCTGGACTTGGGTACTGTCCCTGAGCAATTCAGCTCAAGGCTAGTGCTCTACCACTTGAGCCACAGCACCAATCCAGTTTTTTAGTGGTTTATTGGAGGTAAGAGTCTCACAGATTTTCCTGCCCAGGCTGGCTTTGAAACTCGATCCTCAGATCTCAGCCTTATGAGTAGCTAGGATTATAGGTGTGAACTACTGGTGCCCCGCTATGCAACTATTTTTAACTCTCTAAACGTTGATGTCTTTCCTTATAATACACTATATGTACATATCAGTGCTTATGACATCTAGTATCATACTAGCTGTCCAAGATTGCATCTTGATACTGATAAGACACTACAAGAAAGAAAAGAAAAAAAAGCCCTGGTGGCAATGGAGCAATGGAGTTTAAAAGCTAGATATCAAAGTTCCTTTCATAGTACAGCCCGCTGAATGGTATCATTCCCCGCAAGCCATCGGGTGCTTATACTGAGTTTCTAATCTCCAGTAATTCAGAAAGTTTAGAGATAGGATCTGAGGGGTACCTAATCCAATATGACCAGGATCTCTATAATAAGAAGAGATTAGGACAAAGGCAGGAAATCCTATGGAAACACAGAGAGAGAGAGAGAGAGAGAGAGAGAGAAAGTCAGCCAGCCATCCACAAGCCAAAGAGGCTTTCAGAAGAAAACAACCCTGTCAAGCCCTTGTCTTTTGTTTTTTGTTGTTGTTTTATTTCTAGCCTTCAGAAATATTTGAAAATAAATTCGTGTGGCAAAAAGCCATTTAGTCTATGGAACTGTGTTAGGGCAGTCCTAGCAAATTAATACAGACATGAATAGTTGTTAGTTCCTGAAATTAAGGGTTTTCTTTTCAAGCCCCATGACCAACCAAAAAAAAAAGAGTTTTCTTGATGGTTCAAATCTCTCTAAAAAAAATTCAGAAATCTGTGCAGTTACAGTTCAAATCTATCAAGAATAAATTTAATTTATTTTAAAATGTATTCTTATCACATTTTTGCCAATACTGGGGCTTGAACTCATGGCCTGGGCACTGTCCCTTAGGTTTTTTTTCACTCAGGACTGGCTCTCTACCAGTTCTGTTGTTTTTGATGGTTAACTGGAGGAAAGAGTTTCAAAGACTTTCCTGCCTGGGCTGCATTGAACTGCAGTCCTCGGATTTCAGTCTCTCAGTTAGCTGGGATTACAGTCATGATTCACCGGTACCCAGTTCAAAAATTATTTTCCTGTGTTGGAATTTTAGTACCCCAAGAGGAACTTGACTGAAAAGCCATTCCAGGCCTGGACACGCTATTCTGTTTGGCCATATTTGAAGCAACAGTGTTGGATCTGAAGGCAAATGGAGAGACTTTCGAGATCTATTTTTTCACACAGCTACTTTTACACACTTACTGAAAAGAGAAAAGGAAGCTTTATAAATTATTTTTATTTTTATTGTGAAAATCCCGTACAGAGGGGTTGCAATTACATGGGCAAGGTAATGAGTGCATTTCTTATCAAGCATTGTTGCCTCCTCCTTTGTTTCCCCTTCCCATCCCTTCCCGTCTTATATCTTATAAATTCTTAAGTTCTTATTTCACTGTGGACAGACACAGGTAGAAATATCTGAGAAACAATGATTGGGCTTCCTATTAAAATTAGAAGAAAATGTGTGCATGACTAATGGAAAAAAAAACAATCTCAAAGAAGCAGAAAAAATGTATGAATGAGTTTTTACCCTGATCTCCTTTACTTTCAATTTGCCCTGTATTTTTAAAGCCTATGCATGGTACTGGGAGGGAAATTAAAATTCAAAAATGACGCTGATCTCAAATATTTCCAGAAAAGATGCAAGGGGAAAAAAGGACACCAACACAAGTAGCCATAATTTCATGTAGAATTTGATCAGAATCTATAAGAAAATTGAAATGGAAACAGAGGACAGAGAAGGTAACCCTGGCTGGAGGCACTGGAGGAGACCATTTATAGAAGTGCCATTCATGTCACATCTGGGGTTGACAGGTAGGATTGCAGAGGGAGGAACTTTTCCAGCAGATGGATTAACACAAGGAAAAACAGATGTTGTTGAGTGCAAATCATGTGTGATGAAAAAGTAGAAATCTGTCATGATGCTTTGAGAGGATGGGCTATTGACCCTGCACTTGAAATTAAAGGGCCTGGGTTTGAGTCCTGTGTTAACCATTTACGAGATTTATGACTTCAATCTTCTTGAGTCTCAAATTCCTCATGTGTGGAAGTCTGCACATAGCAGAGAATGATAGGCAATCAAAATTTGTAAAGGTTAGCTGGACCTCAATAGTTCAGACTATCCCATAGGAAAGAGGGATGCATGCAATTTTGAAGCATGAAAACAGGACATTTGAAATGAGTCCTGCAAGACTGTGTGTTGGCTAGCTTTGAGGGCAGCCACAGTATGGAAAGCAAGATCCATTAGGGGTTACTATAATACACCTTGGAGGCAGTGGGAAACTGAGGCAAGGGGTGCTGGTAGGCAGGGGAAGGCGGTGATGCTGTGGAGCACGAGCACTGAGATACAAGCGCTAGTATATGAAATGCTGTTCAGAAAATAAGAATCTCATCCTTTGGTATTTTTTCCAAGGGCTAGCATGACCTCTAGAAAGCCGCTCTGTGGATTCCCAGTCTTCACATTCATGAAAGAGGTTGATAGATTTTTTTAAAAATCATGAATGTAAGGAAGGAGACTATTAGAAAGAGGAAGAAGAGGTGCAGAAGGAAGAAAACGAGGGTGATGAGGGAGATAAATATGATTAAAATCATATACCTTCATGCAAGTGTAATAATGAAGTTCATTATTTTGCATAATTTCTACACAGTGATAATAACAGTTTATAAAACACCTAAGTGTTCCTATATAAGTGAAAAATCTCATTGGCTTCTTTCAATCTATAGGGTTCATTAGCTGCTTAGAAGAGAAAGAATGAACATAAAGGAGAGTAATAAATTAAACAAAAAAACTTCACACGTTAGTGGGTAGATAAATGATGTTTTTGTTATCAATAGAGAAGGGAGGGAAATGAACGGGCTTAGAAGGAAACATGATATGTGACATTTCTAAGTTTGAAAGGCTGTCCTTCAATAGACATGTAATTTAATGATGTGTAAATTTTCAGTTAGATGTGTATTTATAGTTAGCTTAGAAAATAATAATAATCACCATTGCTAAAACTATTTTTAACTCTTTTAGACTATCATATAACAGGCAAACATCAAATTTGGACCAAATATGTTTTCTTTACAGATTCTTTTTATTGGTGATTCAACCAACAGAGGGATCATGTACTATCTGATTGAAAGACTGAACGAAACGCTACAGGAATGGCAGAAGGTGCATGGCACTAAACTATACCCCAATGTCAATGGCGGGAAGACTTGGATCAGTTACTCCTACTATCCCCAGTTTTGGATAAGCCCCTCAATGAGACCAACATTTGAGAAAGCACTTGAGCATCTCTTGCAAAGGTACAATGGAACTATTATGAATGGCAAAATGCCACAAGGCACTGATGTTTCCTACTAGCAGCCATAACTGTTCACTGTATATCAAATGTGCTGAAAAGCTTAGATAGCCACTAATGTGGCTGAAAATGACTTGCAAATGACAAGAGGCCCTGTGATCAGGAAGCCAGACATGGTTCAGTGAAATGTGAGGCAGTGCAGCTAAAATGTTTACCATCTGTTTTAAAGCAACATGTGTTGTTTTTCTTTCTGGATTTCAGATCACGTCCCCTAGAGAATACTGGCCAGACAGTATTGGTTGTTGGTGGTGTTCAGTGGCTTAATTCCCATCACCTGGAAATTATTCACAGGGTTTTGAAGAGGTAAACTTCTGCAGCAAAAACTGCCATTCGTATTTTATTATTTTTAATAAAAGGCACAATTGATAAGACTAAGGACAACTTTGTCATTTAAAATTAAGAACTCAAAATCTAATTTAAATTTTTTTATTTTTAAATTTATTGTAGAGTGATACACAGAGGAGTTAGAGTTACATAAGTCAGGTAATGAGGACATTTCCTGTTGAAGAATATCACCCCTTCCCTCATTCTCTCCCAGCTTTTCCCTCCCATCTCTCCTCCCCACCAAGTTGTATAATTCATTTCTAACATAGTATCACTGTTAAATTGGTTCACCCTTTGTCCCACCATTTCTTTGCTTCCCCTGTCCCTCCTCCAATCAGATAAACTTATTTAAATGCAAGACCGAGAGCACAAAAATAAAAATATAGGTTGCATGGTTTTCCTCATTTGTAATAATTAGAATGAACCTATAACTTTACAAGTAAACCCAATAGATAGCAAAAGACAAATAATTACACTTAGACATGACTAATTAAACAGCACTCTAAACATTCACACAGTGAGAACAAAGGAGGATTTTCTTAGGAGAGGATCACAAGAGCCCAAAAGCTATGTGTATATGATCATATAGAATGATGATTATTGGAAGGAACTCCAAGAAATGAAAGAAAGAAGTGTTTTATTGTACTGTTTGCCATTCTTTTTCCCCTTTCTTCCTTTCCTTTTTTCCTCTGGTTTATTCCCTTTTGTTGCTGTTTTTTATTTCCATACCCTTTGTCTTGTATATAAATTATTTTTTAATCATTTTAAATTCAACTGCAATAGAGAATGTTGGCATCCAAATTTAAAATTACTACAGAATAAAACATGTCTTCTATCCAAATGTGGTAATGCACATCAGTAATCCCAGCACTTACAATGCTGAGACAGGACCTGGTTGGAGAGTTCAAGGTCAAGACCTTGTCTGAAAATCTCCAAATATTAATGTTAAATTCATAATAACATGACTACTGACACACAAAACTATCCAGCAAACATATTTAGTGTACATCAAATCTATGAAATGGTATGTAATTCTTTATGCAAATTCTCACATTCTATTTTATAAAAGTCTATTGTATTTGTTTCTGCAATTAACACACTCAGAAGAAAAATGTTTGTTAACTTCAAGTTTGTAACTTCAGAATTGTGATTCTTTCATTCAGGGAAAATCTACTCCATATCCTAGTGATCATCAAAACTTTGGGCATTGGATTTCACCTGCCAGTGCATGGAGTTCATGTATTAACCAAGGTGAGCCCACTTTTTTCTACACTATGTGGATTTCCTGTTTTCTCTTCTTAGAAGAGATTCCTTGTGGAAGATGATCCAAAAGCTCTATGTAATATTTAGGAACCTTCATAAAAATCAAAAGGTACCAAATACTTCTGGATTATGATTTCAAAGCAATTACAATTATTACTGTAGGAAAGGAGACAATAGCCCACAAATGTGTTGTAAATAATGCAGAATTCATGAAAGAAGAATAGCAGCCCAAGTTATGTAAAATAAACAAATTGAGGTACATGTGAGGGAAGTTGAGCCTTATGCATCTCTTTAGCACACCAACATCTTATATACTTTTAAAGATTTTGCCTTTTTCCTTCATCAGACTGCAACCACAGGTGAAATTGCCAATGTCAGTGAGTCCTTTGGGTAAAACGTGGCCTTTGAAGATGCTTACTTTAAAAGTAAAAAACAACTTTGGGGTAGTGTCATTGCTTTTTCCTTCATTGGACAGTCACAAATGAAAGGAGTTGGAGACAGTTGACCCATAGTTAAATAAGATAGTAAATTCATCTCAATACAGATTAAATGTCCTCAAATAAACCTTAAACTGTTCCAGAGTGCTCTTGAAGCTCATGGACCTGTCCCCCTTGCTCCTGATAGAGCTTCATGTAGAACAAGGCATATATTCCTCTAACAAATAAATATATATTTTATGTATCTGTCTTCCTACTATAATGGTGTATCTCAGGGCAGGGCCTGTGATTTATTTATCTTATTTATTTATTCTTGTTGTGATATATCAAATGCTGGGTTTTGAACATGAGAATTTTAAATATTTATCATGGCAATAAAATTAATTATTTTTCATGGAAAGTTCAAAGTAGTATATCTCTATAGATATGTATGTGTTGTGTTTTGATGTATAAATGTATGTTAACCCTAACATTCTGAGTTTAAATAGTAAAAAAAAATCTCTGCATGTAAGACATGCACAGGAAATTTTTCATGTTACAGTATGCACAATCTCTCTTCAAAAACCGACATTTATCATTTCTCTTTTGAGTTATTGAATCACAAAACAACATGTGTTAACAAACGGTTGCCTTTTGCTTTGCAAAACAGAGTGAAGTACAGAACTTATGGAAAGAAAACTTGGTTCTTCTGAATGCTGCAAGAAGCTATGGCTATGAAGTAGTTGACACCTTCGCTCTAACAATGGGGCGATACAAAGAATTTCTGCAGGGCAGCTGTGCGTGCCATTTCCATGAGGTTTGTATTCCAATTTCTGCTTCTCACAGATTTTGATTGCATTTCAAATAGCATTTATGTTGTATCTTTAATTGCACCATCCACCTCATTTTTCACAGAAAATGATGTCAAGTGGAGATTAAATTAGGTGTTCATCATCAGTCAGCCAAGGCATGTAGTAATTAAAACTTTATCTACAAAAAACCAGAGATGATAACAAATCAGTGTTTAGACACTTGAAAACTTACATCATTGGTGGGAAGAAGGGAGTGTGGAGAAGGGTACTTAATCTTAAAGACTTCAATCCTTCCTTCCCACAAGAAATCTCATCAAAAAAAAAAAAAAGATGCCAAAAGTCTTCAGCGTGAAAATCAAGTTTATTTAATCGGCTAACCAACAAATGGGGTAGGAAACACATAACAGATAGGCCCGTGTTTTGAGTAGTTTTTCTTCTCCAAAGATAATAATGATCTTATGTATTATCAGTAATTAAGTAACAGACTTGGGCAGATAAAATAACAACAGAAAACAAGTCAGCATAACCCAGAAATATGCTTACTGGCTATAGCATATTACTTCTCTCTCTTATAAGCGTGCTTTTGTGAACTTGAAAAGACCTCCCAATGGGACCTGTTGGCTATAGTTTTCCTGATGGAGGCAATGCACTCGTGCAGCTGGATTCCCTCCCTGGCTCCTTGGTGACCAAGTGTCCATCACTCTGCTGGAGGTCACTCTGCCCCTCCAGGCAACCTCTTGGAAAATATTCAAATTGGCACTAGGCTTGTTGTACTTAGTTGCTCGCATTCGGTTTACGGAAACATGCACACATCATTCCTTTGCTGGGAATACATCTAATTCCCAATGAAGCCATCTCTCTTGCTCTTGCTCTGACTTTCTCATTCTCTCCATACCTTACAACTAATCTAGAAGAGTCCTGTGAAAAACCTCTTTCTCCTCTCTCTCTCAGTCTCTCACTCTCTCTCACTCTCTCTCTCTCTCTTTCTCTCTCTCTCTCTCTCTCTCTCTCTCTCCCCCTTTGATTTCCTTGCTCTATTCCTTGGATGAAACAAGGATTAGCATAATTGGCTTTGTCCACACCTTTGCAAGTCCTTCATAAACTCTTCAGAAGTTACTTGAAATCAGTTTCCTTGGCAACCATTGCTTGCATGCAGGTCTCAGGAAGTTCTGCGGGCCCTGAGATGAAGAGTACCTCCGTTTACCTTCCTATCTGAAATTCACTCATTCTTTTTTTGTGTTTTGCTTCCTTTATCAAGCAGAGCACATTCATTCCAAATAATTTTTACCTCTGATCCTGTTTCAGCCTTCAGCTGACTGTCAGATTTCATCTAGGCCCCCAGATTCTCATAAAGACCCCCAAAATCTGCTAGCAATGCATTATATCGATGCGATTTGCTGATGGGCTCCTATTTCCCTTCCACGTGGCCAATGGGATTGTATCTCAGAGAACTGAGAGCCAGCAGCCACAGCAGAGAACATGACATTTTCAGTTTTGATCTAGCAGCATGAAATTTGGCCATGCTGCTATAAAACAGATTTTAAGTTGTGCATACACTAATTTCTTCCACAAGAAAATATGCCTCCCGCAGAGCACTTGTCCTCTTTGCAAAAAACCAATACTTTTTTTTAGTCTGGGAGAGAAAGGAACAATGAACTTGCATCTGAGCCAGCCCAGGATCATTTGCTCACATAAACAGCAAGCCTATGGAGGCCAAACCCACAGAAAATGGGGACTTGAAAGACAACATACAAACTGGGGACTTTTTATTTTTGCCTCTTTTAGAAAAGCTGTATTTATTTGTGTTTATGTAATATGTCTTTAATTAGAATTCGGGGTGAGGTGTCTGCTTTTCTTGTTCAGCTTTTGTACTCGGAAAGTCTAAAAAGGAAATGTCCTCCAATGATTTCCAGCACGGCTGGAATTAAAAACAGAAAATGTCTTTCCCAAATGGGTGCGTGACACGCATCTCCTGCCACAAAACAAACCAGTCAATACTAATCTTCATTTGCAAACCACAAAAAAAGAGTCTTTGAACCAACACCACTAGCATATTGATTCATAATTATTTCTGGTGAAAATGTTTCTTAATTCGCAAAACATTGTCAGGTGACATTATGACAGTTATTTGACTTGATCATTTTTGTGTGTTACCACTATGAACAAATTGCTTCTTGCAAACTCTGCCTGTATGGGCAAGCTTCTTAGATCTTTCCCAGATTATCTCTGTTTATTTGTGAGTAGTGGGATCCGTTGTAAAGTTTGTGTGGTTGAGCTGAACTGTGGGTCCTGACCATTGCCCTTCCAGTTACAATGGAGAGTTAATAAGATCCTCCTTCTCAGCTGCATCACTTCATCATAGAGTGTCAAGCCCTGCACAGGAATAACAGTGACTTCACTAATGACAAATTGTATCTCTGGTACCTCAGGAAGTCTCTGATACTGACCCTGATGCTGTATAATATTTCTTTCTTTTTTTTTTTTTTGGCCAGTTGTGGGCTTGAACTCTGGGCCTGGGTGCTGTCCCTCAGCTCTTCAGCTTAAGGCTAGTGCTCTACCACTTGAGCCACAACACCACTTCTGGCTTTTTCTGCTTATGTGGTGCTGAGGAATTGAACCTAGGGTCTCATGCAAGACCAGCACTCTACCACTGAGCCACCTTCCTAGCCCCCTTTATAATATTTCCAAAGTATCACTCAACATCTTAAGTCATTATTCACTTATTTAAAATAATCAAAATTTCTAAAATAGCTGAAGGCCTGGCTCTGGGAAACAGTGCTTCACTAGCAAGCACAAAGCCCTGAGTTCAAATGGCAGTACTACCAAAAGGAAAAAGTCCAGTTGCGGTGTTTCATACTTGTAATTTAACCTACTTAAGAGGCAGAAATTGGGAGGATTGTGGTTCAAGCCAGCCTAGATAGACCCCATCCCAGAAAATAGATAGAAGGATCACTGTCCTAGGCTGGACTGGGCAAAAAGTAATAGTAAAGCAATGTCAGGGGCTGGGAAGGTGGCTCAGTGGTAGAGTGCTTGCCTTGCATGCATGAGGCCCTGGGTTCGATTCCTCAGCACCACATAAGAAAAATGCCAGAAGTGGCGCTGTGGCTCAAGTGGTAGAGCGCTAGCCTTGAGCTGAAGGGCTGAGGGACAGCGCCCAGGCCCAGAGTTCAGGCCCCACGACCGGCCCCCCCCCAAAAAAAAAAAAAAACGCAATGCCAATGCCACAGTCACTTGCTTACCAAGTGAGAGGTTCTAACTTCAAAATATTTTTAACAGACACACACACACAAATAAACTTAAACCTCTTTCTAAATGATTGTTTGATGAGGGATATAACAAATATTCTGTTAAAAATAATTCTGTGCTCATCTCATCAGTCTGATGAAAAAGATACCATAAAATAATAGCAAGAATGAGAAACGTGTATAAGAAACATTAGAATTTGTATCTTCTTTTTTTTTCCTTTTTTCTTTTTTTTCATTTTATTTTATTTTATTTGTGAACATACTGTACAGAGGGGTTACAATTACATGGGCAGGATAATGCGTACATTTCTTACCAAGCATTGCAGCCTCCTCCTTTGTTTACCCTTCACACCCCTCCCAGCCTCCCCCCGCACCCCCTCACCCAATCCTCCCCCAGAATTTGTGTCTTCTAGTGTTCATTTAAGTCCTCCTCATAATAGAGTTAGAGATCCCTGAGAAGAATGATTATGTTAAGTAAACTGAGACCTTGACATTTCTTGTTTGTTTTTTGGTCAGAATTCTACTATAGACATAACAAATCTGTTTCAGTGAGATCTTATTGCTGTAGGTTAGATTAAAGGCCTTGAAGCGTCACTTTTATCTGCTAGTTACCAAAAGACAATATGTTGTCACTGAGAATCTATAAACAGTTTCTCAAAGATGTGTATCAATGTTGACTAAAGGTTTCTGTGGAATAGAAAAGCAGCTGGTTCTCTTTATGGGTGGGAATGGAATTTTGTTTTCCCAGTGTTTACTCATGACAGCAAAAAGGATCCAGGTAGCTCTTACCCCAGAGGTTTTGGATAGAGACTTACATTATGTGACAAACATCTATGGCAAACAAGCAAAAACCTGGAAAGCATTCAGACATACATCAGCCCAAACTTAGTTGCAGAAGAGGCAAATCCACAAACAGTTCCTGAGTGATTAATTAGTTCTAATCAGTTGTACATCCATTATATAATATATTCAATCAAAAAAAACATCTGGCATCATGACCCAGCTCTAACACCAACAAGTTTCATTTGATTCTGGCACAATGGAAAGAAAAAAGAAAATTCTGATCTGTTGGAGATGATTTTCTATTCTTAATTAATCATAATCTTATATTCTATCTTTAACTTAAAGAAACAAACATAATTTGACCTGTAAATATTTTTTCTCTTTTGCTTTTTAAACTTTAAAAAGTTTACTAACTAAACAATGACAAAAAAATAATTCTTTGAATTGGGAACATAGCTCAATGGTGGAACACGTTCCTAGCAGGCATAAAATTCTGGGCCTGATTCCCAAGCCACACACACACACACACACACACACACACACACACATTTTTAAAACTTCTAAAGTTTATCTGCCTAAAAAGACACCTGAAGCAATTACTTTTTTAGGAAAAAGAACAAATGAAGTAAACATAGTTAAGCTGGTACTGAATATCCCAGAATTCAATTTGCATTAAAAATAATAAAGGTGTTTTTTTAAATATCAATGAGTTTATTCAACAGATGTTTTTGAGTACGCACTTTACTGAAGCATTTTACAGTACTTCTGTAAAAGTGAGCTTGAATACCTTATGGAATTCCCATAAGCACTTCAAGAGCAATATGCCCCCAAAAGAATCATTAACATTCTGTTTAACCTTATTCCCCTACTTTGCACCACAATTTGCTAATTAAGCAAATTGACTCATGTTTACCCTTGTTCAGCCATCCCCCTTAACAACTCAACCAGGCAAATACCAAGTCCTGTTTACTATTCTT